CGTCATGTGCACGCATATGTTTATCCCCGTTTTCGCTTGCACATTTTCTTCCACTTTTTATATATAAGTTTCACCCCCCTGAATTATCCCGGAGCTGCAAAACGTGCCAGCAGGAGCGCTGAAACACTTGCCACCTCCAAGTAAGACGCTGCGACACACGTGAAACTAAACCCTCAGGGTAATATGTACCCAACATCGATACTGAAACACACACGTGCCTCTTATTTTCAGACATTAACAAAAGCACACTCAGCGGCAACTAGAAGAACGAAGTATCCATCTTCCATTTGCAAGCATGGCCAAGCCAAACATTGAGTAAATGTCGACAAAAAAAAACAAACACACGCTGAAACAAAGCGTGACCATATCCAGGACGCTGAAATAAGCGTTATTCCTTTCCAGAAGCAAGAAAAAGTTTCTGCCCAGTATCTACAAAAAAACCAGAATCCCCAGACAAGAGAGACTGGTAGAGGTCTTATTCTCGGAGACTCCGCCACCACCAACTTCCAGAAAGACTAACAGAAGTCCGCCACCAAGGACTCCATCTCCGACGCCACGACGATCAAATACGCCAACATTTTCTCCTGTAAAGGAAGATAGCTCCCCGGAGAAGGTTGCAAGATCACCACCACGGCTGCGCTCAGTGATTCACTTTCCCTCTCCACCAGACCAATCAGAGTGGAAAATCCGGCGAATTGCGTTAGACTCAGTTCGCCCTACTCGGCTTCCACTCCGCATGTTGCATAAGCGATATCTAAGAGCCAGGCGGTCGTTCTCACCTCGCTATGACAAAGAGAATGATAAACCGTCTTTAAACGCCCGCCAAAGGCGAACTTTGTGACGCCTCAAAGAAAGAGAGCACCTCAAAACTGTACATAAATCTTAAGATAAACGTATTGTTGTTGATATAAAATTGGGAATCGAGTGAAAATATCTGCCTCTCCTAGACACACTCACTCCTGTATCTACATTCCCCAAATATTCTTACGCGAGATGCATTAAATCTGTAGCGTCGTTACTAATTAACGTTGTAGACGCGTAGCTAGAAGCTGCAACGAAACGGTTCCTGTGCGCTGTGGTAACCAAGAAATTGGTACGCGGAGTTGAGTCGCGATGATGCGACTCAAGGACGGCGGTATCTCGATCACATGTGTTGCGATATCAAGATCTAAACAACGGAGTCGAAATCGCGCGCTGACGCCTCACTATCGGCGGAAGCTCGATCGCTCTAGTTTTCTAAGATTTTGGAGTCGGATTGGAGATCGCGCATAGGCGCCTCCACGGCGACTCGGTTAGTCATGTCTTCACCGACGGAGAATTGCACGAATCCCCGAACTGAGAAGAAGTTAGGCGGCTGTCGACTACACGTATCCACGAGTCGACGGAGCGGTACCTAGAAAGGTCTAGGAGGCGACGACGGTGCTGCGGTTGACGTATTCGAGAGGTACTTCTGCTGTCAGAGCTTAGCTCTTGTCAGCGGAGTGTCTCGAAAAAACTGCGTATCGTCGAGGTTTTCGTGACGACTTTTATATACTGAATCTCGCATGATTCGGTGTTGTTTTTGCGGTCGATTGCCAATATGTTTACATTTTCTCGTTCCGATTCGATTCTTGTTTACCAGTTTACTTTATTCTGTTTATCGCATTGTTTTCCTTGATGCGCTAGGTTGGGAGGATCGTTAAAATTATTTATTGTTATTATAAAAAAAGTAGTATTTAATAAAAAAAAAGCATTAAACGTAGAAACAGTGCACCATGTAGTTTGTAGCTTAATACGTTGGCAATAATGCACTTTGCAGGCAGGTTAGATAAAACATTAAAATTCTCAAATTTCACACTTATCCTATTGTTCATCGAAATTATTTAATTTATATTGGTGTCCTCTGCATGAAACAATGCAGACAAAACAAGACTTTACGACGTAACTTTATTATACTTATTTATAAGTTATTCGTTTGACACACTCAGCTGATTACAATGTTGCCGCATTTCCACAGTCCAGTTACTAACTCTTTATGACAATCGCAAAATTGTCAAATAAAAATTAATTTCTCTGAAACCGTATTGTGAAAACTAATCAAATTCTGCAAATAGTTCTGATAATTCAGGATCTATTAGTATAAAAATACTTAAATTTTTGATACTATTTTTTCTATACGTACTTGTTCTATACGTATTTGTATTCATTACATTCAAGAAAGTTGCTTTTGCCATAAGAACATGTGTAAAATTAACATAATAATTACTCTTCAACAGTTTAGTGAATCGACTTAAAATGTTTTTCAGTATTATAGATAATAAAGGAAAAGTTACCCAAAATTGTATCAAATTGTTACTATTTTTATACAGCTCAGATATATCCTTAAGGTCATGGGGATTGATAAAGTCATATATAATACTACTATATGCCTAACGGAATTCTCAGCGGTACTGCAACACTACGGTGCAGACAATGCTCGTCTGTTTTTATCTGTTCAATATCAGTGTTCTGTCTATGTAAAGCGCATGCGTGACATTTGTCCTTCCACCATGGTCTAAGCCAATACGATTTGACCTGACGCCATATTGAAAACTAACCTCATAAATTTTGTAAGTGTATGTTCACCAACATTCGTATAGTACAAGGACTCTGTCACGAAACAAAAAATAAAATAAAATCAGTGCACAATGGTAAAATATTGTTGTGTGTAAACAAAAATAAGCTAAAAACGAGGATTTTAGTTTACATAAGTAAATTATAGACGTGAGCAAACTTCAATATGCAGTTTCTTAAATAAATCTGTTTATATTTTGTCGTCACGCTTGCGCATTGCAATCATTGAACACTTCCCTCACTCTTTCTTATTGAGGCAATAACTGTCCATCTTCTATCCTTCAGTGTTGGTTGTAACGATACACGAATGTAACGTTACGAAAGACGTCGCCGAACATCGCGACTAGCGAATATTCGACGCGCCGCAAATATAACAACCCGGCATACAACCGCAAGACGCATCCTTTGCGCCGAATACGAAGAGGCCGTTAGGCGAACGGCCGCAAACGATAAACAAGAGCGCCGACCAACCGCGAAGACATCCGAGATGTCACGAAAGCGTCAGGAAAAGCGTATAAAACGCGAGCGATAATCGATCAAAATCAGATCGGCCTCGACTTAGATCCACTTAGGAACCAAACCGAGATACCGCTTTCCGCTGCGAATACGCAGGTTCCGCTCACGAACTGTTCGGTCAGGAATACCTAACAATCCGATTCCGCTTACGAACTACTCACAGTTCGGTCAGGAATACCTGACAATTCGCTTCCGCTCACGAACTGTTCACACAGTTCGGTCAGGAATACCTGACACTCCGCTCCCGCTTACGAATTACTCACAGTTCGGTCAGGAATACCTGACATTCCGCTCCCACTTACGAGCCGCTTACAGTTCGGTCAGGAATACCTGATACTCCGCTCCCGCTTACGAACTACTCACAGTTCGGTCAGGAATACCTGACACTCCGCTCCCGCTTACGAACTACTCACAGTTCGGTCAGGAATACCTGACACTCCGCTCCCGCTTACGAATTACTCACAGTTCGGTCAGGAATACCTGACATTCCGCTCCCACTTACGAGCCGCTTACAGTTCGGTCAGGAATACCTGATACTCCGCTCCCGCTTACGAACTACTCACAGTTCGGTCAGGAATACCTGACACTCCGCTCCCGCTTACGAACTACTCACAATTCGGTCAGGAATACCTGACACTCCGCTCCCGCTTACGAATTACTCACAGTTCGGTCAGGAATACCTGACATTCCGCTCCCACTTACGAGCCGCTTACAGTTCGGTCAGGAATACCTGATACTCCGCTCCCGCTTACGAACTACTCACAGTTCGGTCAGGAATACCTGACACTCCGCTCCCGCTTACGAACTACTCACAATTCGGTCAGGAATACCTGACACTCCGCTCCCGCTTACGAATTACTCACAGTTCGGTCAGGAATACCTGACATTCCGCTCCCACTTACGAGCCGCTTACAGTTCGGTCAGGAATACCTGATACTCCGCTCCCGCTTACGAACTACTCACAGTTCGGTCAGGAATACCTGACACTCCGCTCCCGCTTACGAACTACTCACAATTCGGTCAGGAATACCTGACACTCCGCTCCCGCTTACGAACTACTCATAGTTCGATCAGAAATACCTGACACTCCGCTCCCGCTTACGAACAACGGATACCGATCGATTCGGAAAACCGTCGGACCTGCGCCGCTTAAACTGGCGACAGCAAGGATCCCGACTTCAACCTTTCGTAGCCGCAGTCTCGTAAAACCGGCCACACGCGCCGACCGCAGACGACCAAACACGAAAAGCGATCATTAGGTCGCCACCATCACGACCAACTGTTTTATATTCGCGTACCATCGACGAGATTGAATAAATCGAAGACTACATCCATAGTGCAGAGTACTTCTTTAACCTTCCACTAACCCTGGCACACGGCTCCGCCCGTACCATATCGGAAACGACGGGACGTTACATGGTACTCTCGCTTATAGGAAAATTTTTATGTTAACCATACTACTATATAGTAGTATTACATATATGACTAAAGTCGGCCATATTCGGCATAATTTTCTAAATAAAGACCAGAATGTTGCTAAAATGTATGAGAAAATATAGATATCTTCGAAATTTTTTATAGAATTCTATAATAATATATCATTTTTTTCAATGGGCTACCACATAAAGTTAATACATTATTATTCAAAAATCTTTTTTTTTTAATAAGTTAATAAAATTATTTTTCTAAACTATCAGGAATCAAAGAATTACTTTTAACTGCAAATAAAATTATCAACAAAAAGCCCATTCTTTTTTTAATAAAATAAACTTGATATTAGCAATAATTATTTTTTGTTTGTAATCAGTTAACCACTTTTTGTTTTTTATATCTGGATCATTTATAATATAGAGATAGAAAACAAAAATAGAAAATAGGGAAAAAATACTTACCCTCGTATTTGGACATGCTTTGCCACGACTGTAACATTTATGACTAGCCCGCTGATCGAACTTCTTCCACAATGCTTGCGCCTTCCATGATCGTAGTTTCGTCTTTAATTTCGGATAAAATTGATTAATAACGTTCGGTCGGATCTTCAATAATTCGCATAGATGCCTATAATAGCCCAGAATAGACTTCAACGTAGTGGCATTGCAAAACTGATCAAACACTTCGTTGGCTAATGCTATTTCCGGTGAATTGGCTGCCTGTCTTCTACTTATTTGCTGTTGATCCATTACTCTAATTTTTTGTTTTCAGCTACACAATAATTCATCAGTTCTTCATTACCTGCAATTAAAAATATTTGTTTATGATACTTATCTCGTCTTGAATATTATGCATTTAACACTACATTCTTATGTCGCTACGTATATCACCAGACATATAATTCATATATATATGATCGTATAAAAAAGAAATAAAGAGAGAAGGGACCTTACTTTTATTTAAAGAATTTTATTTAACTCTAAATTGCTTGTAGTTAGTCCGTTCTTACTAGTTTGAAGTGTAGATTAACATGATTAACAATGAGTTATCTAAGGCAATTTAAGGTTAATAACTACTATTAAATATTTTGCAAAAAAAATAGTCCAGAACTACTCGGACTATTCGACATTCAGATATGTGCTATTATTATATATTAAGTCAAACTGAACAAATTTTATCATTTTACAAATAACCATATAAATTTTTAATTATTAATAAAAGAAAATTGTTACATAATTGTGCACGATAATGCATGAATTTTCTTTAATTAATATCTAAAAATCTATATGTTCATTTACAAAATGATACCTTTTTATACAGTTTGACCTAATGTATGAGTATACAATGGCAAACGACGTCACAGCTTATCTACTATATCACGCGTGATCATTCACTATTCTTCTTTAATTAATATTTCGAAATTTATTGCGAATATCACAAAACAATATGTTCGCGGAGCGAGTCGTCTCTCGTTCGTTATTTCCGAGTTTTCTAGTATGTTCGCGGAGCGAATCGTCTCTCATTCGTTATTTCCGAGTCTTCTAGAATGTTCGCGGAGCGAGTCGCCTTTCGTTCACTATTTCTGAATCTTCTAAAATATTCGATCTCGAAGATTCCTCATCAGATTCAAGTTCCTGACGCGTAATATTTACATGAGCGGCTCACCGCTATGCCGTGTCAGGATACGCTATACCGTGAGTCATATTTTCGGAAAGACGTTGTAAACACCAGAAATCAAAACATAATTCCGCGAATCCATGATTAGTCACGGGCAAAACCAAATTCTCGACCTGAGATTTCCGCGTCGACCAAACAGATGCTTCAGCAACCAATCAGCTTGCTCCAGCTGGTAAGATCGCGATATAAGGCTGCGTTCGAAAACAACACCCGTGTGTATTATATCACACTCGATTCGTTCGAAAACATCTAGTAGTCACACTGAGTAAAGATCTATGGTCGTTCGAAAACCATATCTTGTAGAACATTAGTGTGACTTTTCTCCACTCGCTTTTTCACGGTGAGTTCGGTGGAAATAGTGGCGGGTGGCAGAGCGCGGAAATTTGAAAATAGAGAGTAGCAACGTTTACACTTATTTTGTATTTGGTACGCATATCAAATTATCGGTGTAGCTAAAGAGCTGAATGTGACATTGTAATCACACATAAGAAACATTTGAGTTGAAGATGGTTAAATTAATCGCAAAACGTCATATATTATGCATGGTGACAAAGGAAATCCGCAAAAGGATGAAAAAGGAAATTTTTACGTATTAGATACGATAGATAAGTAATAAATAGTTCTAAATCCTTAACTTGTCTAGGTTATATTTCTTTTGGTACATTTTTGTCATTTTTATCGTATTTAATTGTGTATTATATCATGTTACAGAAAATCAATTGTACGCGATTATCGATTCCGAAAATTTAAGAAAATTTTTCAACATAGATGAACATCCTTTAGTTCCTTCTTCTGGTAAAGATTAATTCATTATTATTGTTATGTTGCAAGTTATTGTTTCTCTGAAGGAAACAGGTATATGTTTTATGATTTTCATATTTTTTTACAGCATCCATAGATATATCGGAGAAACATTTATATACAAGTCAAGAATGTGACGATTTCATAGAATCTGAAACATCTGTACCTGTAGAGATGCCTGTAATAAAAGCAAAATCACAGGAGACACCTGTGAAATGAAAAGACGAAAATGCCATCAAAGTCTTAATAAAGTTATGGCAGGATCATAAATCGCTTTTCAAAAGTTCCACAATGAAAAATATGGAAGTGTGGCGGATGATATCTGACAGTCTGCGAAAAATGAACCTTAGTTGGATTTTTAATCCCATACAATGCGAAAATAAATTTAAAGATCTTAGAAGGCACTATACTGCAACAAAGGACCACAATGCACAAACAGATGTACAACTTAAAACGTGCAAATTTTGCAATTAAATGAGAGAAGTATTAGGTATGAAACCAAATGTTAAACCTGTTGCTATTGCATCTAATCTGCTGAAGAGACGTTCCTCTGTTTTTCAAAGTGGTTGTTCAACTTCACAATCAGAAAACCTTTCTACATCAGAAACATGTGACGACAGCGATAATCAAGAAATAAAAGTAAATAGAAAAGAGAAAAGTATAAAAAAAGCTAAAACGAGAATGGAACGTCAACTAGAGGCTTGGGCATTAGCTAATCAAGCTGAAACACAAAAGAGGGAAGAAGCATGAGAGAAACGTCACCAGGAAAACATAGAGAAAAAAGAAAAAGCCATTAAAGCTTATGGAAATTTTATGTCGAAACTCCTTGATAAACTCTAAATGTTAGTTTTATTTTTATTGGAGAGTTGTATTCTTGTTATATTCCGATTAAAGCTAATTGATGTTTAGTTCAAGTGGCTCTTAAATTAAGTATAGTACTCAACAAGAATGCAGCGAAAATACAACTTTCTATTAAAAATAAAAATAACATTAGCGATTACGCGCCACAGTAACAGAAATGCTGTGATACATTTTGTGGTACCTTTGTTTAAAATACTATTAGACTTTGTATATAATAGATAGTATTTGTTGTAGTTTTGTGAGGAATGTTTAATATTGTTAAACAAATTGATTTTTTTTTTTATTCAGAGAGATGTACTATTTGAAAAATTTTAATTTTTTTTAAATTTTGTTTAATATACAGTATCGAATTATAACGACAGAGACGAGATGTAATATGAGTCTTTTAGTTCTACTTTTCTAAGAATGTAATTTTTATTTTGATTAAGATGCATTGAAATAAATTGAATTATTTAAACTTAAATTTGATTTAATACTTTTCTTTTTACTTTTAATTATAACATCTCTTATTAATGCGTACATACTAATACGTAATATGTTATACAAAATACTGATACATACTGATATAAAATTATAATTTAAACATATAATTTTTCACTTTTCTCATTTCCGCCCTAGAGAAAAGTTTCATGATCGACCTCCTGACATATACAATTTCTAACAAATCTAACACTCTTGCAGACATATTTAATTTGTAATTAAATCCTAAGACACAAGTATAACTAAATAATTACGCTTTGCTTCACCATTTGCATCATTTGCAATAACTTCCTGACAAAATTCATCATTTGGGTCATCTTGTCCCTCAACAATAAAATCATCAATGTCGTCATTTACACCATCGAGACATATATTATGAAGCACATAACATGCTATTATAGTAAAAGGAATTAAATCGTCTCTATTCATGTCCAAATATTTTAAACGTCTCCATCTTCCCTTCAGCAGAGCAAAAGCTCGTTCAATCACTTGTCTCATTTTACAAAGGATCTTGTTAAATTTTTCCTGTGCCTGTGTTGCATAGTTACATTTGCTAAGTTACGAAAAGGTGGAATGCACCAAGTCAAAAGAGGATACGCTTTGTCCCCAATGATGAATTCCTGATCAGGGAAAAGGGCCTGCATATTTTCTTGAACTGCATGCCATAAATCGGAGTTCCTGAAGACTCGCAGATCACTAGTAGAACCCGCAAAACCAGCAAAACAATCTGTAAAGCTAAGTTAAGTATCACAAACGGCTTGAAGAGTGATGCTGAAGCGCTTTTTTCTGTTCATATAGAATTGGCTGTTTTCCTGCAAAAACACATAAAATATTATTTCTTCAAATTAACAAAATATATTGGGAGTGTGAATAAGTTCTCGCCGTTTCACCATCAGATGGCGGTATAAAAATTTTGTGTGTATAATTCAAGATGATGACGCATCTATATTGAAGTTCTATAAGCTATGTTTAAAATCAGTGCGTGTCTTTGCATTAACCTATAAAGAACATTTTCTTTTCGTAGCGTAAAACATGTCAAATTTCGTGCCAAATAAACCGTTTTTGCGGGGAATTTTACTGCACTACTTTATTCAAAAGAAATCTGCAGCTGAAGTACACAGAATTCTTGTAGAAACCTATAGTGATCATGCTCTGTCGGAAAAAACATGCAGAGATTGGTTTAACCAATTTAAAAATAGTGATTTTGATGTTCAAGATAGAGAACGCAGTGGTGCACCAAAAAAGTTTCAAGACGAAGAATTGGAAACATTACTTGCTGAAGATCCATGTCAGACGCAATCCGATGTTGCAAAATCATTAGGAGTTGATCGAACAATAGTTTCGAAACATCTGACAGCATTAGGAATGATACAAAAGGAAGGATCTTGGGTGCCATACGAACTGAAGCCGAGAGACGTCGAACGGCGTCTTGTCACGTGTGAACAGCTGCTTCAACGACAAAAAAGGAAAGGTTTCTTACATCGTATTGTGACTGGTGATGAAAAATGGATATACTACAGTAATCCCAAGTGTAAAAAATCATGGGTTAAGCTCGGCGAAGCAGTAGCATCAACGCCAAAGCGGAATATCCACGGTTCCAAGCTCATGCTCTGCATTTGGTGGGATCAGCTGGGGGTAGTGTATTACGAGCTGCTCCAATCCAACCAAACCATCACAGGAGATCTCTATCGACGACAATTGATGCGCTTGAGCCGAGCATTAAAAGAAAAACGGCCGCAATATGAGCAAAGACATGATAAGGTGATTTTGCTGCATGATAACGCTCGGCCGCATGTCGCGTCACCGGTCAAAACATACCTGGAAACGCTGAAATGGGAAGTCTTACCCCACCCGCCGTACTCTCCAGACATTGCGCCTTCTGATTATTATTTATTTCGATCGATGACTAACGGCCTGGCTGAGCAGCACTTCACTTCGTATGAAGAAACGAAAAAATGGATCGATTCGTGGATAGCCGCAAA